GCTCCGTCCCCCCCCCGCCCATCCCAGAAGAAACAGCTTGGGGGTGGTGAGGTTTAGACATTGGGAAAAAATTCCAACATCTCTTTTCAAAGCTATGACACAGATGCACTCTCTGCCAGAGAGTGGTGGTGAATGGTGCTGTATCCAGTTGGCGGCTGGTCACTAGTGGTGTCCCCCAGGGATCAGTGTTGGGCCCAGTTCTGTTTAATATCTTTATCGATGATTTAGATGAGGGGATTGAGTCCACCATCAGCAAATTTGCAGATGACACCAAGCTGGGGGAGAGTGTTGATCTCCTGGAAGGCAGGAGGGCTCTTCAGAGGGACCTGGACAAACTGGAGAGATGGTCTAATTCCAATGGGATGCAGTTCAACAAGGCCAAGTGCCGGGTTCTGTGCTTTGGCCACAACAACCCCATGCAGCGCTACAGGCTGGGGACAGAGTGGCTGGAGAGCAGCCAGGCAGAAAGGGACCTGAGAGTTTCGATTGACAGGAAGTGGAACATGAGCCAGCATTGTGCCCAGGTGGCCAAGAAGGCCAATGGCATCCTGGCCTGGATCACGAACAGTGTGGCCAGCAGGAGCAGGGAAGTGATTCTTGCCCTGTACTCTGTGCTGGTGAGGCCACACCTTGAGTACTGTGTCCAGTTCTGGGCCTCTCAGTTCAGGAAGGATATTGAGGTGCTGGAACAGGTCCAGAGAAAAGCAACGAGGCTGGTGAACGGACTGGAGCACAGGTCCTGTGAGGAGAGGCTGAGGGAGCTGGGGTTGTTCAGCCTGGAGAAGAGGAGGCTCAGGGGAGACCTCATCACCCTCTACAACTCCCTGAAAGGAGGTTGTAGCCAGGTGGGGGTTGGTCTCTTCTCCCAGGCAACCAGCAGTAGGACAAGAGGGCATGATCTTAAGCTCTGCTAGGGGAAGTTTAGGTTGGAAGAAATTTTTTACCAAGAGAGTAATCAGGCATTGGAATGGGCTGCCCAGGGAGGTGGTGGATTCACCGACTCTTGAGGTTTTTAAGATGAGACAGGATGTGGCACTTAGTGCCATGGTCTAGTAACCATGGCAGTGTTGGATCAAGGGTTGGACTTGATGATCTCAGAGGTCTTTTCCTTCCAACCTGGTTGATTCTACTCTATTCTACAATTCTGTGATTTAAAGAAGGAGTAAAACTCCCCATACCAGTTACTTTTTTAGTGAGTGAGGTTCAGTTGTCCAGGTTCTGAGAGGACCAGAATGTTGCATCTGAGCTATGTTCTATGATCTTGTGGAAATGGGAGAAAGATAGACTTAAGGGAGGTACATTCAGAAGATATATTGGAGCTCAGGCAGACTTGTCTACTGAGAATGTTTTGGTGCTCTGGTCTAGTATGCTACCCCCTATTATGCTTCTTCAGGATCATGGGGGAATTATATGTTTTCTCCCTTTAGAGTGGCAGTAAAACATGGGCTATGATGCAGCCAGTGGACTGGTTGTTGGCTTTTTTCCGAGGAATCCCTTTTTTAACCTGTCTAGGGACCTGGGTTTTGCTAAAATGAAAATTTTCTACTAATTTGATCTCTTGCTCCATTAACCAGGGCAGTGATCCATTAGCAAGAAGGGAATAAAAAGTATTACCACTTCAGCTTCTGCCTGCCTTTGCAAGTTCTGGGCAGCCACAACAGTTCAAACAGGTCAGTATTAAGTAATCAGGCCACCTGGGCAAGACATCCACAAAGCACTCTGCTTTACTGATGTCTTCAAATATAAACCTGGCAATTCTTCCACTACAGCACTGATGATTTTGCTCATCTTTCAGCTAGGTTCTCTTTTTCCTCTATGTTTTAACACTACTGCTGGGGACTTGTTTGTTTGTTTGTTTTCCATCCTCTATTCTCCCCCCCGCCCCATCTCCCATCACAGATCCTGTCCTGTAATTTCTCATATTGGCTCAATACCTCTCACTGCCTTGCTCAGTTACTTTTTCTCTTGCACATCCTCATCTCTCTGCTGAAAATCCCACAGCAGGGCTTCACAACACATCTGTGCTCTTCTGCCTTGGACCTTGAATCTTCCTGTCTAGACTACCTGCATCTCCAGTTCACAGCCTTGAACAGCTTTTTCTAATCTCCTCATGTCATCTCCATGTCCTGCTTTTATTCTTCTCAAGGACCATGCTATTTCTTCCAAGGGATAATTGAAAGAATACGTTACTGACTCCCACTCCATTTGATTTTCCTTTCTTACATACAACAGTTTCTTCTGCCTCTCTTAACTGCACCCACATTTGTCCCACTAACCTTCTCTCATCAGAGCAGCCTTGCACTCGTCCTTTTATTCTTTTCCATAACTAATCCAGCTCCTCACTTCAAAATGTATGTTAGTCTCTCTGAGTTTAAGAAACTTTCCCTCTTTCTTCTCTGACCTTGTTTCTGTTACTTTCCACCTTCACTTCCTGAATGAAATTCCCTTTGCTTGCTCTGTGAGGTAATAATGACTTTCATTGTACTTTCTTCTGGGGATACTATCTGATTGTATTAGTCATCATGTGCTTTGACTTTAGGTTGTTTGTAGTAGAGCCCATCTTTTCATTTTGGGTTTGCAAACAACTGAGCACAACTGTGTTCTCTTCCTTGGCTGGAGCTGTACACATAATAAATAATGACAGAATTATGAATTCAGCACTTTAGCACTGTCTGTCTTATCACGACTTTCCATACTTGACTAAAATATTGAAGTTTTGTTTTTATTGCTACTGACTGAAATGTATTACTGTAAGCACAGTATTTGGGAGTAATAGAAATGCCAGAATTCTTTATGTTCTATTACTTTCAAATACAAGATGCATGTCTTTTGAAATATTGAGGTTGGTTGCTCAAGTATTGAAGAACTGGGGGATCTAGATTAAACTGTTATGTACAATTAATCCACTTACATTACTTGAATGATGTGTATATTTTGTAATATATTTTTCTCATGCTTAAGAAACATGCAGTATTTAAGCATGCATACAGATGCAAAAGGGAGTAACCTAAAAGTTGTATGATACTTCCCTTGACTACTCTTCCATCCTTCACCTCATTTAGCAATGTCCTGAGCCAGAGTTGTTTCTCTATTTTAATGATCTTTACTGGGTCTCCTTTTCATGAGCACATCCAGTTTCTTGTTGAATCCATATATAAAGACCTCTGTGATTTTTATTTCCTTCCCTCTCTATTTCATCTTTTTTAACTTTCCCCTCTTTCATTCCTTGGTTTTCTTTCACTTCATTTCTCTGATACAATCAAGCTTATTACAATTACGCTTACTGATATTTGATTAATATTCCATACTTAAAACAACTTGCCTTTTACATTTTGTAATGTGGTCCCATACTAAACAGTTGCAGGAATATTTACGCTCTTTATACAGCTCATCTGTGACAGGAGACTGTGAAAATCTATCAAGATGTGAGGTCAAATAGATTTTATATGTAAATGTGTTTGAAGAAAGTTTTGAAAGGAAGAATAAACAGGAAAAAAAGGAAAAAATGTGCTTGGTGTTTCAGTAATTCAATTGTTTATCCAATTTACTGCCATGTGCTGAAATATTACCCAAAATTCTAGGAAATGAAGTGGATCATGAGTTCAAGGATGGAGCACTAATTGAATTCTTCATTGAAATGACTCATCTTAGCAATGCAGTGACCTGGACTGCCCTCCTGAATGTAAAAATCTTTACAAATGTATCCTGGCACAGGTGCCACACTAAAAGCTTGACTCTTCTCCATCTAAAAGAAAGGTTATCTGTCAGAGGAGGATTTGCTGGAAGGGGGGCATTATTTCCAAGAAAAAAGCATTTTTCCTTATAACAAAGCAAGATGAATTGGTCTTGTTCTTACCCATTTTGTCTAAACCACAATTGGTCACACTGGGCACAAATCTTACTGAGTAAGCTACAGGGCTTAACTGAGACATGTACCTTACATTAACCCTCTATAAAGGCAGGGTTTTTTCTTACCTTAATACTCTACATAGAAAAAGAGCTATAATTAAATGAACTAACAACAGTTCTAAAAATGCTGAAAATAGGAGCGTTCATTTATACTGACTGCAAGTTAAATATCAGATGTGTTTTGAAAATCCTTTTCCTTTTTTATGCCTATTCTTATTTTTTTAAAGAGGATATTGATTGGGTTTTGCTTCATTAAAATGAGCATTTATATTAATGTTGGATTTTTAATGCTTTAGACTTCCTCATTCACTAAGGGACTCTTACAAGCCTGGTCCTTTATTTCAGTGATATATACTTGAACCATAAACACCTACTTGGCATGAAATTTGAGCAAAGAAGTGAACAAAACAAAAAGAGTTATTAATTTCTCCTACTTAGAAGTGACTAGAAGATAGGGCATTTGAATGTTTTTACCGTCTTACAAATAAGCAGAGATTTGCAGCCGACTTCCACTACACATGCAACCTGGGGTTTACACACACTTGAAAAGTATGACTCACTAGCAGAAAATACACGCATCACAGAAGAACAGTGAGAGAGAACAGAATAGCTTTCTGAAGGTCTTCATGTTAAAATGTTGCCTTTTAGTCAAAAGGGTATTTGAAATAATTTTTGTCTCTCTTGAAGTTTTTTTCTGCCAGGTAGTAAATCGCTGGTGCAAATAAATGGAATCTATTTCTTAAGAATACGAAGAAGGAAAGATTGAGTTTGTATTGTTTGTCTTGAAAATATCTTAATATCCAGAAAATAGGAGTTTTCCTTAGTGTTTTAGTACACCTGTATTGACTGTCATCATTATTCTGTCAAAGATAATAGAGTGCATACACATCAAGTACACTCTCATGATATCCTTACCTCCAGAAAGCGCAGAAAAAGTATAATCTTCACTAAAGAAATAAGCAAACAATTTTCCATTACTTCAGTATCATAAGTGATTACTGTCTCTGATTTTCAAAAAAAGTTCTTGTGGCTGGAAAAATCTTAAGACAGTGGACAAATTACTGACTAGGAGTATTTTATAATGTACTTACATATCACTGGCAATGGAAGAGTTCCTGGACATGGACTTTGGAGACAAGTCATAGTCACTGTCTGACCGGTAAAGGAAAGACTCCCTACGTTGACTGTGGACAAAATTTGCCTGAAGAATTAGCCCTGATCCAGGGCTTGTCATGGGATCCAAGGGACTTCGTCCCGATGATGTACCATTGTCTACATCGAAACTGCAAAAAGAAGAGAAAAATATTTATGCCACTGACCTAAGAACGTTGAAATTAATAAATGCTCTTCTGACAAAATTAGCATAGCTAATTGCTTCTTGATAGCAATGGGGAAGTAAAGATCTGGTCATGTCCACTGCTGAGCAAAAACACAAGGCACACAAGAGAAATACTTTAAAATTACTGATAAACAAAACAAACAAGTCTGAAGGAAAAGAAATTTGGTAGAGGAAAAACCCTACTGCTAGGATAGAGGAAGCTTTATGCTCCTCTGCACATAGAGTATCCGCGGAGTTCTATACCGGAGGAAACATGTTTCATTGTTCTTTTCTTCAGGTCCTATCTCTCCTGAGCTGGACCCTCATTATCTTATCTCCCATTGTTAAGGCAGTTGAGGGCTCTTTTGTTATCAAGTACCCAATCACAATATTTTATTACAACAAAAATATTTCAAGAATGTATTTTTTCTTATCCCAATAAACAAAGTGCTGGGGTAGCTTTAAGGGATATGTGTGTGCTTGGGCACATCTGACTGCATAAGATTTGCTATTTTGCAATCAGATTGAAGCAATGAGTTCTTTGTTCACCACCAAGCAGCACAACATCTGTAGCCATTTGTGTCTTTGAACGACAGTTTAGATCCAGCACTTCTGGTTGTTGTATTTGGTATGAAGAATGGCTTATCTTTCCTAGGGAACACAATTGTCCTGAGAGGCTGAAGGGCGAGGGGAGAGAAAGAGAGTAGATGCTATTTCACATGGACTGTGATATTTCCACAAAGGGTTTTCAAAATCAGTGGAAAGACCTTGAACAGGAGTCTGCAAACAATGAGACACTTGCACAGGGTGGGTGGTGCTGAGAGTATGTGCTTATGGCAACCTATGTTGCTTGGCAGCCCAACAGCTGCATTTGGTACTATATGGAGTCTTTTTGGAGCATGTGGATTCATTTTTAGACTTAATGTGTTGTGGTACATAATCTCAGAGGTTACAGATGTGTGGATTAACAAGACTAGGTCTCTAGGCTCATTTGCCATACTAGTGGGAATTTAAATAGTACTGCTAAAGTATTTAAGAATGAGGGATGAACAAAGGATCTTGCACATGATTTTTTAAACATGGATAAGTGTTAGCACCATAATATGTATTTGTATTGAACCCCTATAAAGTACTCAATTTGAAACTCATTTGAAGAACACCCACTGGTATTCAGTTACATCTAATGACAGCCGAAGAGAAAAGATGCAGAACAGGTCAGTTGTCGATTAGACTTCAGCCTAGCACAAGTGTCACAGAAGGTACGTGCTGCTCTCTACACTAGCTTGTTTTATGTGCCATTGACTTGAGGTTTCAATGAGGTTACCACTTCAGTGCTTTACTGAAATGACAACATTCCTGTGGCCTGCTTCAGCTTTGTTAAATGAACTGATCAAAGAAACATATATTGCCTGTTTTGACAGAGATGCCTGGCAGTTTCTCTTTTTTAAAAAAATACAGAAAATAGTATTAAAAAATGTCAAGAAATTTTAATAATTTCTCTTTTCACTGTAGTTTTCAGAACAATTCACTGTCTGTAAATCAGAACACATACACTTCTTCCAAAATTTGATTTAATTTGATTATGTAACTTTTTCTGTGTACTCAAATATGCTATACTTTATCAATCTCAAACTAAGATTAAACCATGAGACATCAAATGAGAGTTCTGTCACCATCCTGCTATATGATCTTGAACAGTGCAAAGCTCCTCTTTGCCCTTCATTTTTCCTATGTGTTGCATCTTTGTGATCACTGTGAGATCTGCTCACAAAAAGTATCTAAAAATGTATTGGAAAGGTCAAGATAGCATGACTCCTATTGTAAAATGTCATTTGCAGCTTGTATTGCTTTAAGTTCATAACCATATTACCCTTGTTACTAGCATGACTACTTTTACTCTCAATCAATATTTTTTGAGTTTGAATTCCTAAATATTCCAGGGGCACAAAATAATCACAATACTAATGAAGGGTTTGGCTCATTATACCCAAATTTCCTAACATTTCTATCTCATTGCCTAATTTTTTTTCCTTTAAGCAGCTGCAACAACACACAGATTCCTAAACAATACAATTTTCTATTTTTGTTGTTCTATTGAGGGCAGGAGGGCAGATCATTCCTGCACTTTTAGGTAAAACAGAAGACGACTGTTTACTCCTGTGCTCAATAAGACTAATTTCTGCAACGGCAACATAATTTCGATATACTTATATATATAAGCTTGTCTGAGAACTTTAAAGCAAAAGTTAAAAGTTGGATAGAAATAAATGAATATAAATGTGTCTCACAGCAGAAAAACTTTGAATAAAGAGTGACTACTAAATTGACTTTTCTAACAGTGGCCTTAAATATTCAACTGATTCAAAAGTATTTAAGTGGATTAGAGGAATATATGGTTCTCTTTGCAGATTTATTTTCTTCACCCACCTTTTGTGGATATGATACGAGTGTTATATTACCAGTCATTTCTTCCAGTCAGAAACTAAGGCAGACTTCTACGAATGATTTCACTGTTAGGTTATAAAATAGTGAATTTTTAAAATTTAGAAGTCTGTTAACTAGAACTGCAGTTTCACCAGCTGGGAGAGGCCTGTGGTTTGCTCCACCAGATAACCACAAAGACATTGCTGTTGTGACAGAAATTTTGTTCTGTTGCACTGCATGGTGTCCACTAGATGGCTGTCAAAAGTAATGAACAGGATCCAAATACATCAGCTGGATTTGCTTCGTGTTGTTCAAAGAAAATGTCTTTTATGAAAATATGTATCAAGAAAAAAGTTCAGTTCTACAGTCAAAGGGGAATGTGAATATAACACTGGTTTTTCAGAAAAAGGTTTATATTAAAAAGTTTCTAAAATGCTAAAGCAGTTAAGTGTCTTGTTTGGGTCTTTCTGGGACATTTACCAACACTTTCAGATACAAAAGCCTGTAGAACTCTAAATCAAAACAAGTGTTACTACACTGAACATCAAGTAAATTGTTTATTTGTCTGAATCACGTCTTATTTGTAAGACACTGTGCTGCTGATTACACTGCAGCAAAAGAACAGAGAATCAGAATGGGGAATTGAAGACTTTCACACCATTTCTTTGCTCCTTCTTGCAGCATACACTGAAAAAAATAAACGTTTAACTTACAAAGTAGGATACATCGTTTAATTTGCCTGGGCAGTAATTGCAAAAAGTCAGCTGTGGTTGCTTCATACTTATCTTTCCACTCCTGTTAAGTTTTAAGCCACAGCAAGAATATACTGTGAATTAGAAAGAACAGAGAAACTGAACATCATCTTCATGGAAGTTGTTAGTAAGGAGCACAGGAACTGTTCTGCTTTCATTTCACAGCAGAAAGTGGCCATTTGAAGACAGAATTTTCCACTGTTGCTCTGTAGCCAGGTTCAGACATTTTGCACAATGCAAACTGAAGCTGACATTAGTGACAGGTGCATTTGGCACAGCCCATCACAGAACTTTATATGTTCAAAGATCTTTGCTGCAACTCTGGAGATGCTGAAGGTATGAAAAGCCAATGATAATTCAACAACTTTTGTGTCTGCACTTTGACAAAATGTTTTAGGGCATTAGTGGATACTGTTTATCTTTAGAGCCTGCCTTGTTCAGCGTTCGATAATGACAAAGATGACATGAGATTAAATTCAGACTTTTTTTTCCATGTTTGCATGTCTTGCCCACCATCTGTCATCCAGGCTCTGTACTGAGATGGGGACAAAGGTGGTTAGCTGTCTTGAGTCATGGCTGACCTTCCCTGTGCCCCTAATAGGACGAGAAGTAATAACATCATAAGCAAACTTTAGGAAGATTATTAGTGATTTGTTTCAGACAATAGTAGGACTCTGGCAAGCACAGGAAATGTTCTTGATCCTCGATCGAGAACTGCTTCATTGTTAATGATAGCACAGCTTCTTTGCACATTAAAAGAAATCCTCTGTGGACTTCCTTCTGAGTGCTTAAAAAATGCTTTCCTACTCTGCAAGATTGCTAAAAGAAAAAATGGGGAGGCTTGTGTATAAAATAGGAATAATGACATCATAATAACTATACACAAGACTTTGTAATTAAGGCTGCAGAGAAAATTTTCGTGTTGGTCTTCCTTATTACTGAGACTTCAGCACTAATTCTGAGACATTTTGTTTGGTTTTTTTCTTTTGATTTGTGTGGGTTTTATTTTTAGAGAAGTAAGCAATAGTAGAAGAGAGAAAGAAATAAATTTCACCCTAAAATTAAGGATTTACTAGACTTTTTAAGAATACAAATTGCACTCCTGATATTCCCCCTTAAGTGTCTCCCCACCTTCATCTTATCTTGAAAGCTGAAGGGAGGGAGAGCCAAATTAATTGATCCTCTGAGGACACCTTATCTTTTAAGACCATCTTTAAATAGAGGAACAAGCAAGTTCTAGAGGAGCAAATTTTGTCTCCCATCAAAGGAGTCCATTGTCCTAGTGTCAAGCAATCTCTCCAGCCATCTGTGCTGTGACCTACATATACATCTCAATGTCCTAACTTCCAAGAATTCCCATCCTGTTTTTCACCTGGTAACATAACCCCCACGTCACACTGAATGGCGGATTTTGGCACAGCACCTGTAATTCACAGAAATTATCACAGACCTGCCCTGAAGCAACTGCGTTTAGGCAGGATTTCGTTTAGAGTTAAAACAAGGTAATAAAACTATATGGTTCTGAGGAAAAAGTAAGTTATTGATCGCTTGTGCCCCAGGACAGGAACCTACCACTAGGGGAGGCTACCTGTAGCAACTGGAGAAAGGGAAGGATTGGATGATGCCTTCAAAAGTAGAATCTGAATTTATTACTTGGATTGCTTGGAATTAAAAAAAGCAGTTGATGGCACACTGTGGATGTGGAGGCACTGTATGCCTGTCTCTAAATCATTTGGTAGGTCTTTATGACTTCGCTTGAGCTTTTTTATTGCTTATTATTAAACTAAGC